TAGAATAGAATAGAATAGAATAGAATAGAATAGAATAGAATAGAATAGAATAGAATAGTTTATTGGCCAAGTGTGATTGGACACACAAGGGATTTGTCTTGGTGTAAATACTCTCAGTATACATAAAGAAAAGATACATTCATTAAGAGTCAAGAATCATTATGTACAAAACTTAATGATAGTCATAGGGTACAATCAACAATAAAATCATACTAGGAAACAGTCAATATAAATCGTAAGGATACAAGCGACAAAGTTACAGTCCTACAGTCACAAGTGGGAGGGGATGGGTGATAAGGAGTGATGAGAAGATTAACAGTAATAGTAGTGCACACTTTGTAAATAGTTGAACAGGGTTGAGGGAATTATTTGTTCAGCAGAGTGATGGCTTTTGGGAAAAAACTGTTTTTGTGTCTAGTTGTTCTGGTTTGCAGTGTTCTTTAGCGTCATTTTGAGGGAAGGAGTTGAAACAGTTTATGTCCGGGATGTGAGGGCTCTGTAAATATTTTCACAGCCCTCTTTTTGTCTTGTGCATTATACAGGTCCTCGATTGAAGGCAGGTGGGTAGTAATTGTTTTTTTCTGCAGTCCTAATTATCCTCTGAAGTCTGTGTCTGTCCTGTTGGGTTGCAGAACCAAACCAGGCAGTTATAGAGGTGCAGATGACAGACTGAATAATTCCTCTGTAGAACTGGATCAGCAGCTTCTTGGCCAGTTTGAGCTTTCTGAGTTGGCGCAGAAAGAAAATTCTTTGTTGTGCTTTTTTGATGACGTTTTTGAAGTTAGGTGTCCATTTTAGGTCATGTGATATAGTAGAACCTAGAAATTTGAAGGTCTCTACTGTTGATACTGTATTGTCTAGTATTGTAAGAGGTGGTAGTATGGGAAGATTTCTTCTAAAGTCTACCACCATTTCTACAGTTTGTTCTGGTTACATCACGAGGCAAGTTGTATAACCTTCTGTCTGTATGCAGATTCATCAGTGTCTCGAATGAGACCAATCATTGTTGTGTCATCAGCAAACTTCAGTATTTTAACAGATGGATCATTTGAGATGCAGTCATTGGTATATAGGGAGAAGAGAAGTGGAGATAGCACAGAGCCGTGGGGGGTTCTCGCCCAGTAAGGTCTAGTAACATGGACCGTTCATATGTCCCTGCAATCAGAGATTGCAGAGACTTACATGCTCCTATCCTCTTTAATAGTGTCCTCCACATTTAAGTGCTATTGTACTTTATGATCTTCAAAACATCTGTGAAGACTTGGCTTTTTCACCAAGCCTTGAGGAAAAGGCTGCTTTGGTTATCACTCTGGATAAGTAGTCATTTTAAATTGTCAAAATCATTCCGTGTACTGCAACTTAATAATATATGGTCTTGGTTTTAAGATTTGATTATTTTAAGGCAAATTTCAGATTTGAGGAGTTGTACATCACTTGATTGATTGGAGAAGGCCTGCCATTTTTTTAAAAAAATGTAATAAATAAAGATTTGAGCTGGTGAGATGTGATCCTGTTATTTGGCTTCGCGTTCGTGGTCGTGCCACATCTTCATGGTGGGCATCTGTTCGCTTCATGTATGGATCGGAGGGGTTTGAAGCGGGTAGTGATGCAGCTGCAGTACAGCTTCTGGTCTGTGGTCGTGTCTCATCTTCTGTGTGGGTGTGACCGCAGCTGCATCACTACCCGCTTCAAACCTCTCCGACCCATACATGAAGCGAACGGACGCCCACCATGAAGATGTGGCATGACCACAAACATGAAGCCAAACAACAGGATCACAGCTCACCAGCTCAAATCCCCCAGCAACTAAGACTAACCTGAGCACAACCAAGCCCCCACCTGAACAGAACACACCCCCAGCCAATCAGAACACAGCCAAACCCCCAACCAATGAGAACATACCCCCACCCAATCAGAACACAACCAAGCCCCCACCCAATCAAGTCACACCCCCACTAGCAGCTAAAAGGAAGAAGCAGCTGCAAGCTCACATTACTCCGAGAAGCACAAAGCCAAAGGCACAAGCCTGAAGATGATGAATGAGACTTCATCAAAACGTCGCCTAGATACTTCCAATTTTATGCGGGAGAAAACCCGAATAACCAAAGATCCACATACAAATACCCGTGAAAACCTCAGAAAACAAATATATATACATATATACATACATACATACATACATACATACATACATACAGGTACTTACATGTACGGTATTCAGCTTTGTTCGGGTATTTTCCCATGTCATTATAGTTGTGCTTTTAAAGTTGTAGCAACGTTGTACCAATACAGAAGCCTGATGATGGCAGATGAGATTCTGCCAAAATGTTGCTACAACTTTAAAAGCACAACTATAATGACGTGGGAAAATACCCGAACAAAGCTGAATACTGTATATGTATAGGTATATGTATATGTATCTCCCTCAGAGAGGGGGACATTTTATTTTATATTTTATTTTTATTTTTTTTAGTTTAGTTTAGTTTATTATTTTATTTTCCAATGTGGAAGCCAATAACAAAATATTCACCATATTCACCATTAGCAATACTAATGATCCCATCAAGGCAAATGGTTTTTTTCCTGTAACATTTATTTATTTATTTATTTATTTATTTATTTATTTATTTATAACTTGCCACTACTATGTAATCTCTCTTGGCTGCTTCCAAGGTTTACACTATAATAACAATTTAAACATTCACTGTAAAACACTAACATAAGTGGCAAGGGGAAAAATGCAATAAGGGGCCTTTGATGTTTAGAATTTACATTTTAAAACTTTGTTCCATTATTTTCAGTGGAAATGTCCAATCTTATAATAAGAGCACATTGTAGTATTCATGGTCCAAATTCACCAGTGGCCACCACTGAAGGATTTGGAAGTATGTTTTCTAGGATAAATAATGTGACTCTGATGTAGGTTTATTCTGTAACGCTTAATGCTGTCTTTGTTAAAAATGCATTATCTCAGTGTGTCCCATCTATTCCTAATGGTTATCCCTTTAAGAATGAGGGGGGGAAATGGCTTCGCGAAAATCAACGGGAGCTAAATTTGTTGCCATTTAATATATTCAATGTTCAACACTGCATGAATGCATGGAATTACATCTTGAAATGCTAAATTTTCAATCTCAAGCCTGCTTTGTGTGGAATGTACCGTAGGACAGAGGGGAAAAAATGTTTGAAACTGGGTTCATTTTTCCTTTCCCTTCTTGTCTTCCAGGGCAGAACTGTGGAGGTTTAGTACAAGGCCCCAATGGGACGATAGAAAGCCCAGGATTCCCTCATGGTTACCCAAATTATGCCAACTGCACATGGATCATAATTACAGGCGAACGTAACAGGATACAGTTATCATTCCATACCTTTGCCCTCGAAGAAGATTTTGATATTTTGTCCGTTTATGATGGGCAGCCGCAACAAGGGAACCTAAAAGTGAGGTAAAGTAAAATCTAGTCACTCCTTGTAAATAATATAGAATTCAAAGTTGTGATGTGAAGGTGGTTTATTCACTGCTCTGTTTGGCTGTTTCACATCTGAATTTCCCTGTAGAAGACAAAAACCTTTTGCTTTGTGCAACAGCAAAGAGATGTTTCCTCATGGTCATGGCTTGGTGGGCGGAAGGATACTGTAAAATCTCCATTCCCTCTCCACCCCACTAGCCTACTTTCCAGCTCCATTCTCCTGTGCAGGGCAAGAAAATTAGCTGGGACCGGGGAGGCAGAGAATAGATGGGGGCAGGACCACTTAGAGGTGGTATTTGCTGGTTCTCCAAACTACTCAAAATTTCCACTACCGGTTCTCCAGAACTGGTCAGAACCTGCTGAATACCACCTCTGACTTGGACCATTCAATCTCTGTTAGGCTGCTTGTTTGCTTGCATGCATGCTTATATATTTATTATTGTTCTGAAGCAATTGTGGCATTCCAGGATAAATGTATTGTTGGAAATGTTTTGTTTCTGTTCAAAACGAGAACTTTTGGTATTTCTTAAACCCATTTAGCTTTGCTATTAAAGATTGAGGGGGGAGGCATGGAGATGTCCATATTGGCTTGCTATTCAGCTCACAACCCGCTTGTAAGAAAATGTATTTCTTTCTTCAAGTCTGCTTCTTGTTGTTGAACAGAACAGATAATATCATCACAACAGTAAAATTCCTTTTAAGTCTAATTGATGTTCTTTTTAATATTTATACATTTTATGCGTTATTTTATATTCCTTTTACATAAAGGAAACAAGTTCTGCTTCAAAGACTTCTTAAAAGTGGGCTTATTTAGAAGAATGCTATATACTGTATTTTCATTCTAATACATTTTGATTTCATGTGTTACAGACTTACTTCTTATAGTCACATTATGTTAGAAAAATCTAAAACTTTCCTTAGTTATATTTATATGGTTTCTCAGAACTTTATCAAGGATGAAGATCCAAGAACAAATAATTTTCCCTCATTAGAAAACTTGTTGAATTGGGGAAAAAAGGGTCTTAATCTACAATGCAGTGAATTAGTATAGACCAAACATTATCCACTGAAGATTTTGCATAACTTGTATTTGAAACCAAAACTATATGTAAAGTAGGTGATCAAACTTCCAGTGGTTCGCCATTGTTAAGTATGGCCGGTGGGTCCCATGGATAGATGAGGCGTGAATAGTGAACAACAGCTCTTTATTAAGCAGATAGATTCTGAGACAACAACCCTAGCCGCGGCAGCTCTTTTTATAGAGCTGGCTGCTGCTAGGCAGCCAATGACAGATTTTCGAGCTTGCCGTGCTTGGTTTTACCCAATCGCGGCAAACCCCATACGAGCCAATCAAGAGTGCATACAGCATCCAATCACAGCCCGGCTTTCCCGGGCCAATAGGAATGCAGGTCTTCAAGCCTGCTAGTATGGAATAGCCATGGTTCTTCAAACCATATATGGATCACTGTTATTTTAAAAGAACTGTAGAATTTAGATTTGAATGAAATGATTGTCCTGAGAGAGGACTTAAGCCTCTTTTCTGAACCACAACATAGTCAGGCATGGCGGGCAAAGAATATCACTGGACTTCTAATTCTTAAGTTCCAAATGCTTTATTATTGATTCTCTTACTTCCATTTTCTGAATCACACTGGAGAAAGAAGGATCTGCAGTGGCTAGCATGATGAAGAATCTACTGTGGGAGTTTATGTCCCCTTATTTATGATGCCTTTTCACTAGAAATCTTAAATACTCTTTCCTGCCTCGACTTGAGTCGTGAATGGGGCAGCCAAACAAAATAACAAGGTGTCTGCCTCCATTTTGTCAGTGCTTCTCCCAGATTCTACTTCACCTTGGAAGGTTACTTGATTCCTTCTCCCTTTTAGTATTGCAACAGCATCTCAGTCCGCAGACTTCAGGATCTTCTTTTATAACAGCACTGTTTAGGTTGTTCTTTAAAAATATTGTGTAAATGTATGATGATCTGTGACTCAGCAGTGTCTTGCTGCCACATTCACTGTAATGAGCAAAATAGTCCTGATAATGAGTGCCATCACTAAAATAGCAAGTTCTAACTAAATAGAACAAAAAGCTCTAAGGAGACACTCTTCACATTTTATACTTCAAGCGGTTTATTTTAGACAATTAACAGCACTTATGACAATGCTGAAATATAAATACAATATTGAGGTCAGGAATGATGATATCTGTTGTGCAATTCTATGAAAATGTATTGCTCACTGCATAATGCATTACACGCACGTGTCTTAAAACTGTGAGGTTCCCTTTGAGACTAAACTTACACAATTTTAATAGTACAAATAATTACTTAAAGATATTATCATCATTTCAGCCAAAAACTAATTTTTGCAAATTGAATACTTTGGGGTAGTATTTGGCTCCCATTTTATTGATATAGACATTATTTATTTATTTAAAATATTTATACAGTCATCCATCTTACAACCAATTGTGGGCAGTTCCCAATTATCTTAAAGTAAAGGTAGCCCGCTCCATCTGAAAGTCTGAGCGACTTTTCCCTTTAGAAGATGTGCTGGCTTTGCGCATGTATGATATGCATCTATGTGAATATATGTATCTGTCAGAAATAGGTTCCAAACAATTTTACACTTCAAGCGGTTGAAGTGTAAATCAATGGAATCATAAGAGGATATTCTAGAAGTTAATTGCCTATCAAATAAAATATTAAATTCACATAATTAATTGATCCCAATATACATTTAGGAAATATTTTCTTCCCAATTATTTTCAGCACCAACTCACAAACAACAACAAAATAAAATAAAAAATAAAAAATGGGAGAGATATTCCATTTTTTAAAAACACAGAAATCATTGGAGATCTTCATTCAACTGTTTAAAAGAAATATCTACTTCATTTTATGTATAACAGTTTAAACAAATACAGTGAGAATTATTTCTCACCATAGGAACACACAAACTTTTGCTGTTTAAATATTCTTATCCTGGTTAGCTTTAGATTGTATCTTTCTGCTTGCGGATTGCTATACAGCAATTTACAGCTTCCAAACAAATTACAAAATATTAAACACAGCATAAAATCAGTATAATTAAGGGAGGTGAAAGTTCCTGCCAGCCTGCATTCTCCAAAGGCTTCCTCACCTTGCTTTCCAGCGCCCCTCCTGTGAAAGACAAACTAAGTGGGAATCATTTTTCCAGGCTGGATACTTCAGTGGGAAGTGCCTTCATGGCAATAGCCATCAGGAGTGAATCACCCTGTCACCATCCCTGCTTGACCTTCTCTCTGCCTGGGAGCCATCAGAGTCCAGTGCGGGATGCTGAAGGAGGTCCTTCTCCTCAAGCTTAGGTGTGATTGGAAGCTTGGCTTCTGGCTAGTAGAGTCAATTGAGAAGCTGCTTTGAAGGGATAAGAGTTTCTGCTCTGGCGGACTCCAAGTGCCAAAACCCTGGTCCTTCCACCTATTGGAAGCCGCCATTTTCTCCCTCTGGAAGCTTGAGAGGAGAAGGGAGAAATAGGGGTCTTATCCACCCCTCTCTTCCTTTCAAAGGAGAGTAAATCTTTGGAGAAGGAATTTAGGCTGGTGGGAATTTTTGCTACCTTTAAACTGGGTTAGCTTTGGAAACCACAGTGGAAAGGCCTGATTTAATTAAATAGACACCGGTGCACCTATGTTCCACAATTTCAGTGCAGCCATTTCCAGTTCTCCCAGTGTCTGCCTATGCAGTTTTCCCAAGTGGCACAGGTTCTCCTAGGGATCAGAGTTATGAGCTAATGATTTTAATAAAACAAATGTGGAAGAGGAGGATGGTTACCCAAATAATATTAAGAGAGGAATAGGTCTAGAGTCTAGTTATCTCACAGTGAGTTATTCTGTGTTGAATTGGTGATTTATCCCATGTCAAGTTGACACATCAAACTGTCCCACAGCAAGTTGGCTACGGCGAGTTGACTTAGACCCTAATTAGAATCACAGTATGATCAAAATTATTTAACAGTTAAAAGCTCAAGAAAAGAAATGAATGTTTTGCTGCTTTTTAAAATATTGGAATAGTGAGCTCTAAACCTACTTCTAGTGAAAGAATTCCATAGCTCAGGAGCCTCAAAGGCGATGGCCTTGTCCTGCATATCACATAAACAAGATTTTACAGCACAGTGTTACTCAACCTTGGCAATCTTAAGACAGGTGGACTTCAACTTCCAGAATTCCCTAGCAACTCATGCTGGCTGGAGAATTCTGGGACTTGAAATCACTTCTTCAAACCAGAAACAGGAAAATGTGTCTAAAGCCTGCATTCATGGTAGATCGAAGGTAAGAGCAGGATATCATCTGTTCATATCCTCCAAAAATGGTTCCTAGATCATACTAGTAACAGAGTAATTTGGCAGTGCAGATTAACTCTGTGACAACATATTAATATCAGAATGTTTTGCAATGCCTTTGCTTAACGGCTGATAACTGTTTTTGTAAAGAACCAGGCGGAGCTTCTAGTCCTTTTACACAAAACTTACCTCAAGTTTTCTGCATTTTTGCAATCAAATTTAGATTGGAAACTTGATTTAGCCATTGCTATTTATATTTAGCTGTTGTTGTTATCTTATTTTTAATTTTTTCTGACACATAGGCTTCTAAAAGTCATTCCAAATTCTAGTCTATTTCTGACTATCCCTCTATTAGAATGTGTAAGATTGTGGTTTATTTGGTTATTTTTCATTGAATATCAGACAGGATTTTTGTTGGTTGCTCAGCAACAAAACTAGAAATGGTGCTGCATATGGAATTCATTACCTGTTGTCAGTCTTAATTGACTTAAGCCCTGTGCAGATGTCAGATGTGCATTAATGAGCACAGGTAAATATGGTTAGTATTGCAGTCAATAGCCTTGTACCTGATGTCCCCTTGCAAGGCCCTTTTTATGTAGGGAGCTTTGCCGATAAATGTATTATCTAGACCAGGGCTGTCAAACTCATGGCCTG